GAGGAACAGTGGGTACGATCAAAGAATGAAACTACAACAGTCAAGGCCAGAACAGCTCCTGGAAAAACACGCTGTGATTATAGAAGTGAGCACAAACAAATGAAGGACAGATTTAAGAAGAAAACACTACAACCACGGCTCAGGTTGTAAATCTGTAATTGATGTCCATTTCCACAGCACTAATAATGTCAGCACACGACAGCCTCTGTCCTTGCAGCCTGTTACAGCAGCTGAACATGAAGGCAGTGTTGCTCATGAACCAGGGTTACCATTTCACAATTTATGATGGTTTGCTAAAGCAACTGCACAGTTTGTGATCTGTTTGTCATATAATTTAGTCGTCTTATCAAATTGTGCTTTAATGGGCTTAACTGTACTTCACTGATTTTCATTAGTCCAGAGGGCAGAGTAACTGAGCTGGAGTCAAACATTGAGACATTCTGTCATATTTCAATTCACACTGTGATTCACAAAGCAGTTCTTACTGAGGAAAGCAGGTGGAAGTGAAGTCCTGCACATCCTCAGAGAATCAAGTATCAACAGGCGCAGGTTTACTGTGTCGACGCTCACTCTCAGCTTGATTTAATGTGTTCAGGGCTCGTCCTGGTGACACTGAAGTTAAGTTCAGGTCTGACTTCCGTACTGTGTCTGTGGCTGTCAGCTCTTAATCCCACTGTTTCCTACTGAGGACATAAATCTTTGAAAACACCTCATAGATATATAGTATACCTTAGTTTCACTTTTTTTTCTTTTTACAGAGAAGCTCAGTAATTATTAGATTTTTTAAGGTTCCTACACAGTTAGAAGAGTCAGTATTGACTATGTTGGCTGTGCTGTGGAGTTTGTGTTTTATTGTTCACCTCCTCTCTCTCCACCCCTCGCTCAGTCTTCAGCCTCCAGGACCTCTGCTGCAGAGCCATTGTGTCGTGCACGCCGGTCCACCTCATCGACAAGCTCCCGCTGCCCGTCGCCATCAAGTCCCACCTCAAATCCTTCTCCATGGCCAACGGCATGAACGCCGTCATGATGCACGGACGCTCCTACTCGCTGGCCAACCCGGCCGGCGGCTCCAAAGGCAACAGCCTGAAGCGATCCAAGTCCATCCGTCCACCGCAGAGCCCTCCACAGAACTGCACCCGCAACAACTGTAAAATCTCCTAATCACCAGAGCAGGTGGTAAAAGACAATGGATGACTGGGATCAGGAGACGCGTGTACAGGAGGTTGTAAGTCTGAGGGTATGAGCACATCCCTGAACCTGAAGAGCTGAAGAGCAGAGATGACGGATAAAGGGATGAATGAGTACCTCCCTCCTTCATGAGACCATGTTAAAGGGTGTGAAGACCTTTCCAAGTGGTGGAGTTCAAATGATGCCTCAGGATGTCAGAGAACGACAACAGACTTTCTGATTCTCACTATATCCAGAGAAAAGACTCCAGATTCACTCCTGTCCACTGGAGTGTCGACTAAATGTACAAAAAAAATCCCTCACCAACTCATATTTAGTTACTCTACATGATGCACGCCACTCGTCGTGTCTGTGCATCACAGACATCACCTCAAGATTATTCTTCACTTTTATGTCGCACATTTATTTCTTGCTTCTGTCTGTTTCTGTTCACTCTTCCGTTTATTTGCTATTTTATTGACCAATAAGCTAATGATCAAGAAACACTAGTAACCAGTCAGTCCTTTATTGATCATTGTTTACCTGCAGCTGGCTGTAACAGCTGGATTTGGATTTGAACACTCATGTGCTTTTTGCTATTTGATCTGTGACGCTTGCTGAAGTGAAATCTTGGTGACAAGATGAGTGAATGTTCCCATCCGGTCTTCAGGCAAACCTGCCCCACCCCCCACCCCCCAACCCCCCCACCCCACCACACAACCTGATCAGGTCTCAGGTCCAGGAATTGTTAGTGTGCCTTGAGTCTAAGTCAAGTCGATCTTTTCCCTGCCAGAGGGTTTTGGTCTGTACAAACAAAAGAACCTGAAATAATCGAACAATTAACAGGGTAAAACAAAGTTTTAGATTTTATTACGCTGTGGTTTACAGCAAAGAGATCCAGTATGCTTTGTTGCTATGGATACCACTCACTGCATTTTTTAAAAAGTGACCTATTTAATGTTCTCTACAACTTTTATGAACTTAATTTTTAACATGATGTCAATTGAAGAATTTTTTTTTTTTTTTTTTTTTTTACAACAAAGTGAAACTAAAACTTGAACAAAATAAACACAGTGAAGTAAAACAGCCAGTCAAAGCCCATGAAAAGACCCAACCCAAGACTCTGCTCCCCTCCTCTGTCTGTGGCTCTCAGCTCTGAGCCCCTGGTTCCTACTGAAGATGTAAATCTTTAAAAAAAAAAAAAAAAAACCTCAAACAATGTAAAAATAGACACGTCCATCTTTTTACAATTTTCTTTTCTGCACAGCTTCATTGCCCTTGTTAGGGAACTGTCGATCTTTTCATTTTGACTCAAGAGCTTCTGGGAGTTGTAGTCTGGAGGTGAGACAGAGTCTGGATCCAGGCAGATTCCTCTTCGTCTTTCTCCTTTCTCTTCCCCATCTCTGTTCCTCCCGGTCGAGCGTTTACACACTCCTGCTCCTCATGTTTCCAGATTTCACGCCTCACCTGTCGTGTCACGCCTCACCTGTCGTGTCACGCCCGTTACGCGCAGCAAAAACACGTCCCTGCTTATCTTGTGTTTGTCACCAAACATGCACACACCAGCATCAGTCCAAGCTGATTTTATATGAACGCATGCACACAAGACACTCGGCTCCATCCGCTCCCTCATCACGACACTCCACCCAACATCTATGATCTGAGTTTCCTACTGTGTGCTTCAGTGTTTGGAACATACTGAACTTGAGCCAAAATGATTGATTGATAAATTGATTAGTCAGTCTATTGAAAAATAACTGTCAACGAGTTTCATAATTGATTAATTTGAAGGAAAATGCTGTTTGCAGCTTCTCCGACGTGAGGATTTGGAGGAAGATATTTGAAAGTGTGTAGTCGTCCTTAACCAATAGATTCATTAATAGTTGCAGCCATAAACTGAATACACAGATTGACAATAGAGAAGTTTCTGTGGACGTGTTTATTTGTTTCCGTTGTGACAGACATGAATTGAAGCCGAGCACAGCTGCTGCTCTGCAAACTGAGTCTTTGATACTAACAAAGATTTTGGGTGGAATACCCCCCCCCGTCCCTCCCGTTTCTGCTGCGCACTGATGTGTTTTCCATACGTTCATTGCAGAGTTAGACACAGTTAAACCCTGAGGGGGGAGGAGGCGCAGATATCTGAGCTGTTTGGTGTTCAGTGGTGATAAGCAGAGACCAGTCAGAGCAGCTGGACTGGATGGTGTTGTGCAGAGACAGAGGTTTCAGGTAAACTGTAATATTCTGTGTTGATAGTAAACACTGACCCGTGTTGATCGGGCCTCTCACTCCTCTTCGTGACTTTTTTAACTAAAAGGGCCAAACTAGAGGTTTTAGCCCATTATCTGGATTTTCTCTCGGATCGCTCCAAAGCAGATTTTCAGTAATTGATTTCCCTCCTTTCAGGCAGCCACTGGTTTCACTTTGTGTCAGTTCACTGTAGGAATCAGCCTGTACAGATTTAAACTGTGTTCGATGTTGGTAATCCATGACAGTGAACATCGAGTCCTTATTGTTGTTTTTTCAGGAATGTTAAAGAGAGTGGAAACAATTAGAAATTGATCAACAGAAAATTGATCGGCAACCATTTTGCTAATCAGTGGAATTGTTGTAATTTTTCAAGCTAAATACTAAAAAAAAAGTTCAATCTTGGTAATCATGAGGATTTACAGTTTTTCTTCATGGGGAAAAAGTCAGGTCTACACCTCCACACCGGAGAGACAGCCGTGAACATAGACATCATGTTTACAGCTTGTCTGTCCGTCCATTCGTCCATTCGTCCATCAGACCGTCCCATTCTCGTGAACACGATATCTCAGGAACGTCTGGAGGGAATTTCGT